GAACGTTTGGTAGTGCCACAACAATAGGATTGTACTTCAAGTTCTCGAATGCAAAGATGAAAGAAAGTAGTGTGTACCCGAATAATATTCCTATCTTCAGAAGTAGACCGGCCTCAAGTTTAATCGCCGCTGGTAATTCTAAGAACCAGCCGGTTGTAGGTCGGTGAACTCTAGTTTCGCCACATTCTTGACTGCCATCACCGGGTCTTCATTGCACTGCAAGAAATACTCTTGCAGAGTAGCAGGTGACAAGGCCAAATGAGAGACAACATCGGAAAATTGACTGGCCAGCTGATCAAGCGTTGTATTCGGGAGCTTTGCATCGGCATCATCATTACCAAAAAAGAAAGAGAAGTAGTCGTGTATGGTCGGTGCATCAGGGTTTCGGAACTCGAATTGCTTGTCTATCCGTCCAGGTCGAGTCAGAGCCGGATCAAGTGTTGCTTTAGCATTCGTGGTGGCAACGAGTATATGGCCGTTGTGCGCTCCGATGCCATCTAAAGCATTCAGAACCGTTGCCAGCGTTATTCCTTTCTGACGAGATGCATCTTTTTCTTCGTTCACTGTATTTCCACGCTGATCAATCCCGGTGGTGTCTATATCTTCAAGTACCACCATACAGCGTGCAGGAGGGGCCGGTAGTGTGCGGAACAATTCTTGTAGGCCATAATCATCAACAGTGGCGAGGTTGAATATATATATCGGAAGCTCAAAGTGGGTGGCAATCACCTTGCAGCAGCTGCTCTTACCAGTCCCCGGTGGGCCATGGAAGAGATAGCCTCGTCGATGCGGGATGCCACGTTTCCGATAAAAATCGGTAACGGCTTTGCTGAGGAATTTTTCAATATCTTCGATCATTTCTCGCTTCATTTCTTTATCCTGTGCTAGGCTGTCCAGGCTCCGAGGAATCTCGTCGCACATGTTTTGCCAGCCCGCATCCCGCTTATCTTGGCGTGCACAGAACACGGCCAATTGTCCGCGGCGGCAGTCAACATTGAATTTTTGGATATCCACCAGAAGATCTTCAAAAACAGCCTTGTTCCAGGACATGTAATAAATAGTGATATTCTCGGCATTTCTCGAGAAGGGATCCAGAGCATTCCGGTGCGGGTCGCGGTAGAAGGCAAACCAACATTTCTGATACCGAAAGAAATGAAAACGCTCTTGTCCCGGAGTGATGCGAAGCTTCTCTATCTTTCCTCAATATGCTGGGATTTCCGTCTCCACATACTTAAGAGAGTCGTCGTTGGAATCCCAAAGAAATCCGAATGCCTCCGTAATTCCAACGATAACCGAGCTTGAGCAGCTGTGAAACCCGACACTAGATACCCATCTCATGACTTGGGGGTATAGATTATTCCGGTGTTTGATTTCCGCGGAGGCGACAAATAGTGAAATAATGGGTTCCAGAGCTCTCGAAAGTGACGGCAATAAGAATGCCGAAATGATCGGAAGGGCAACCAACGGCAGAACAGAAGACAATATGTTAACGCCCAGGGCGGCCGAGATTAGCCGGATAAGCCATGAAAGCCCTGGGGCAAAGGTATCAAGGAGAGAATGAAGTGCCTCATCAGGTTGTTCGGACATTTTAGGTGGGAAAGCAAGAATCTCTGAGGGGTTTGGTATTTGGAGTGGAGATGAACACCGATAATCTGTTGGTGATCTGTGGTGTATTTCTTCGTTGTGTACAATGGCATAGGAACAGTATTTTGGGCAGCTAGTATTTATATTATATCCCGAATGGGGGCTGAAACTTCGTCTTTACTTTGGCGGTCGAGGTGGGACGCCTGGTTTCTTGACGCCTGTTGTATCGCATGCACTGCGTCTGCAAAGCTTAGCCTGGGTTAAGATCACCAGTAAATTAAATGAACATACCTGTATTGAATTGGTCTTCGTCAGGACAAATCATGGTTGGTATTTGCACTTCGACTAGCTCTCAATTGGAATAGAGCAGCGTAAATTTGGATATGCTCGAGGAAGACTTATTAATCAAGCCTCATTCTTTGGCTGTAGGGCCCCGCTTGCTGTGGGTTTAAGTTGTAAATTTAAATCCTTGTGACTAAAACAAATTACTAGCGATTGTGTATACATTTACGGTGTACAGACTATCATGGCCCAAAAGGAGTTCTGAACTTAAAGCATAATTGCCTGGTGCTAGTCGCTTTCCCCTTGTGGATTGGTCCATATAACTGGTTTTTGGCCTACAGACAGTTTACCAATGTACAAGTTGCGAGCCAAGACCTCTTGCATAGTTTAGTTCTGATATTAAGAAGATGCAGCGCATTGCACAAGAGTAGTATAGTTGAGGTAGAAAAACAATTTGAACGGGATCAATGCAGAAACGAAAAAGACCAAGATAGATGTTCCAGTGTACCTATCCGAGATACCCGTTTGGAATCGCGTGTGGAAAACTCGACTAGCCACTGCTCAATCGCGCCGTGGGCGCTTCGGAAAGGTGATATGCTGACTTATAAGTCACTCTCGAAAGCCATGGGGTTTTCTATCTACATAAAGTCAGCACTAGTGGGCTTGCTTGCCGATCTAACACTACGAAGGGTCAACGATCCTATCCGTCATTAGTGAAAATTCAAGACTAATCCAAATTGAGGACCCCTCACTGAGGGTTTCTCAATAGGTCTATTTCTGTAAGCGATCCTCCAACTAAACCCTATTCGGAAGCCCCCATTGTGGGTTTCCTGATCGGTTTAGTTGTGACCGGCCACTTTGCCCGAGTGTAGCCCCACCCCTATCTCTAAGAAGATCAACCGTGGAAGGCTCTCTGAAAAGTCACATACTTCTCAATAAAAGCCGCACACGTGTATGTGAACTCGAATCAGAATGTCAAGACCTAGAAGAGGTGATGGAGCTGAGAGGAGATTGGGTATACAATACAATAGAATGCATATCGGCCGGACCACCGAGATGTGACATGAGAAAGAGGAAGAAAGATCGTTCTCAACCTCTATTAATGGCTCTCAGTAAAGCATGGGGTATCTATCGAAATTTAATCAAATGCAACGTGACGGAACTTGCATACACTAGCGCCCCATATGATTGATTTACCGAATAATAGAGTTCGTAACATGGAAAACCCATTGCAAAGCTGGCTTAAGTTATTGCCTGCTTACTTGTCCGCACAAGGCAAACTAGAGGAATACCTAAGAGGGAAAGCCGAATATCACATGACGAGCCGTGGCAAGGCTTTTCCATTTTCCTCTTATTTTTCTTTTTTGTTTGATACATGCTCCCTATTATGGCGATCCAGCGTCAGATTGAATTTGAAGGCAATGATACGGCCTATATCCGGTTCCTCGAAAATAAAGTATTGGAGCTAGAGAATGTCTTGCAGATTTTACCAAACCAGAGGATCCGTCCGTCCGTCCCACAGTCAGTAAGTGCTGGATCAAACCCTCGCTCTAGCAGGCGTCAATCTTCTACGAATGAGCGTGGTAATCGTCCGACTGTATTACAAGTCATCGAATACGACCCAAATCACGATGACTGCTACCCCAAAAGAGTTAAATCCAGAAGCCAGACACGAGACAGGTGGCAATCTGATTTGAACGGCCTACTTGCGAAGGTACCGCCTTTGGATTATTGGCGATCTCACAAGAAAGAGTTATCAGAGAAGAGCAGAATTACGCTGGAGGTTCTGGTCCAAGCCGATATTTCATTATACCGAACACCCATATTCCCCCCGGGACTTACTCTGGACCTGTTGACCTTGTTCCTATCTTGCACCAATATTGTAACTTTGCGATGAAAACAAGCCCTGAAGGAGATTTCTACTGCAAGTTGACGTGCTTCCGAGAACTCGTGTTCATGTCATTTTGTGCCGTCGCGCTCAAAGTGGCTAATAACGCAGCCAGCGTATTTAAAGTGATGCGAGAATATAGCGGGTCTGAAGCTCAGGAGAAACACTTGATTAAGCTGACTCGGGGTGCAATTTGGGCAAATCGCTCAATTTTCGCTTTGTCTGGGACTCAGTGGGGCTCGGATTGCTCCGATATCTTTTTGCTGGGTAAGTCAGAACAACAGCTAATTTTTGTCTCAATTAACAATTTTTTGAAAGCTGGGCAGCCGGTTTCTTTCTATGCACGATACGCAGAGTATTCTGAAAGTCTGCCGTATTTCCTGCACCAGATGAGAACGAAGGCCGGCGAACATGCTAGCTCCGGAAAAGATTTCAGACCAGTGTCGCTTGCTGTTCCTCTCATAATTGAGAGGCTTGCTCGGGGAGTTTGTCGTAAGTGTCACTTAGTACCCGTCTACATGAGCTTATCAACTTCAAGGCCTGTCACTTATTCGATTTGGGTACGCAGACTATCAAAAATATGCGAAAGCCTTGGATACGAATTAGGATACATGGAAGACTGTCGTCTACCATTTGAACAGGCGTTGAATCAATCAGTTACAAAGAAACGACATTTTGGGCCAGCACAGCCCAACGCTTCCAAGAGGCCTCGTTTGTCCCAAACCCAATCTACATCGTCAGATTCAACCCCCAACCAGGCTATACGAAACTGCGAAGAGACAACCACGGGAACTAATGTTGCTTTGTCTGCCGAGAGCATTCCCGAATCTACATTTCCTCCCAACGCCATGAGTGGAACAGAAGTACAGACAGGCTCATGTCAAAGTGATGTCACCAGCGGTGTTGACTTCTCACTAGAGTTGAGTAACGCTCCGCTGTTGCAAGGACAATCCCCTCAACGACCTAGGTTACCGGCCGAGCAACTCAGCTTATGTATTACACAACCAGAATCTGTACCTGATCGAGATTGTCCTACCCTACCACCTATTTTCGATGATCTAGTTCCACACAGCTCGCAGCCCACAGCTTCACACCCTGAAGACTATAGTATCTTGGACTGGGAAAAGGATTTCCTCTTGCTGGATTGGGAACGTGATTATGACTATACTGCATTTCATTCGGGCAACTGGCAGGATCGACATAGCTAATCAATGTACGAAAACATCGGCCACGGCAGTAAATAACTTCAGGCAGTGCGTAGTCGATAAACAAGAGTAATAAACTTCCCACCTCCACCACTGGTATGAGAGTACACAATCCGGCCACTCCAAGCGACTGCGTCACCAGCTTTCAGATTTAGGTCCACAGGATTTCCAATGGGTGGTTTCCGTTGATGGGATCCTTCGTAGAGCGTAAACCATCCATTTTCTTGTCCCAAATCCGTAACTGCAATGGTAATGTAAACCTCCTCTTCATTTGCGGTCTTCAGCTTTGATGGGTCCGCATGTGTCTGATGAAATATGCCCATATTAATCGATGTTGGTTGGTGGGGCACGGCAGTCGTGGAGAACAAAGGTTCAAGCATTCCCTTTTCTACATTCTGCTTTTTCCTTAGCCTGTGTTCACTGATAAGTCCAGGGATAATCCATACCTTCACAAAATCGTCCCTCACTGCGATACCTAATGACGAGACCTCGTATTCATTGTACTTTTCTCGACACACCGTAGGTTTTCTTTTCGCGATGTCTACATCGAATTCGGTCGCCAACTGTTTCACGAGAGCCACAGATACACATTGAGGTATGACCATAAACCCTCGAGAGTTTTCCATTTCTGTAGTGTGTTTTGGTTCGTCTTCAACTGAGAGGTCTCGAGCAAAGGCAGCATGAACGGATGATTCTAGAAGTCGCGCCCTGCTATCAGTCATTTGCTTCAAGCTACCGAGGCCAACAATCTTGATATTGGTAGCTCACTTGAAGAACAATCTGCTGAATTTGGATACTTCGCAAGTCACCAAAAGAAGCGATGGCAGCTTCTTAGATAGGAACCTGAATTGTCCCAGGGCGGGGTTCTGCATTTTCTATGCCCGACCGCCTCGTGCTTTTTCTGCCGGCATGTGGCCCCTCCCCCACATGCGGACCGCTTTTATCGCCTGTGATATGAGGCTGGTGCACATTAGGAACCAAGCCGCATCAGAGGATATAAGTTCTTCACGGTTGATGGGAAGATTCAAACCCAATAATAATGTACAGCAAATTGAGGCACCGCAAAAAGCAAACCCTTTTGGCCCAGGGAAGACTCTCCTCAATTTAGTTTTTGGCGGAATTTGAACTACTCGGGCCCTTTTAATGCTTAGCTAAGCTAGTCGCCCCAAACACCTCTGGTGTTGGGGCTCCGGTTTTAGAGCATACTTTCGGGCCCGATTTTGGTGCCTAACCATACTTTTCACCCACCTAGTAAAATGCCAATCTTCGTAGCATTTTTGTATAGCAAATTACTGCCATAAATACTGCATTCAAAAGAGCATTGCCTGAGCTATTTAATGTAAGCAAATCAGAACGCAATGCATCTAATATTGGCCTTACCATGACGTTTTCCCGCTAATATCTCCATGAAATAGCTCATTTTTCGACCATTTCTCGCTACCATGTCCGATGAAAATGAGCTCAAAATCGCTAATGCATTGGCCGCTTACCATGACCGTAATGAGCCGAAGATCAAGCCATTGGCAAGGGAATTCGGCGTCAGTTACCAGACCCTGCTAGGCCGTATACGGGGTGCCGGGTCAGCAAGTGGCCGACTTGCCACCAATAAGGCATTGGACTCGGTCCAAGAAAAAGCATTGCTTGACTGGATTATCTTTATGGATAGCTGCGGCGCCCCCCCGACGGCATTATCGATACAGCAGCGCGCCGATGACATTATTCATCGATCAGACCCGGACCGGAAGCCTCTTTGGCATGGCTGGGGCCTGGCATTTACTAAGCGACTGCCAAAGCTTGCACCCCACCTCCATTTTATTAAGCAGAAGCCGAAGGACCCGAAGCGAATGGGCGCCGAGGACGTAGGTCTTACGGAGATGTGGTATGACCGCCTAGAGCAGTGTATTAAGCAGTATGGGTTTCGACCGAAGGACATCTATAATATGGATGAAACCGGCTTCCGAATCGGCGAAGGAAAGGCTCAAAAAGTGGTATCTGCTTTACCTATTAGCTTCACTGCAACCGGGGGCCATGGCGAGAGTATTACCGCTATTGAATGCGTTGCTGCCGATGGTTGGAAGACGCCGCCGTGGTTTCTAGTGAAAGCTCAGTATCACCAGGAAAGCTGGTATATTGACGAAATGCCTGATGATTGGACGATAAAACCGACACCAAAGGGCTATTCGTCTCATACCACAGCATTAGAATGGCTAGACTCATTTATCGAGGCCACAAACCACCGAGTCTATCGCCATAAACACGCCGAAAGTGATGATGAGATAGCGGAAGCTCGTGGCCATGGCGGTCGCCGTCGATACGGCCAAGATGCAGCTATTCGCCGAGAGATAAAAGCAATACGCGAAGAAGCAGACCGAGTACACTGCCGAGGTTATCGCCTTCTTCTTTTCGACGGCCATAAGTCTCACTGTACGCCTGAATTCATCCTAAAATGCTGGGAAAATCGCATTGTTCCGTACGCCTTCCGGCCGCATGTCTCCCATATATGCCAGCCCCTCGATTCGGTTCCATTTCATCGGTATAAAGCGCTATATCGGAGAAATAATGTCGAGGTTGTCCAATGGGGTGGCTCGGTATCCCGGAAAGTCGACTTTTTTCGCGAAATCGTTAAGGTTCGAGAGTGATGGATGCTCTCTCGGAGCACGTCATTAAGGAAGGTTTTCGCCTTACTGGAATCGTCCCTATTGATGCGCAATTAGCCATGGAGCAAGAGATCAGAGATGCTAATGATGAGACTAATGATATATGGGTAGACGGCTTTCCTGATAGAGATGGAGACAGAGATGAAGCTCAAGACCGCGAGCTCGCTAGCTGTATCACTATGTCACCGCCGCGAGACGTTCTAAACACAGAATCGACGTCTCAGAAGCTTCTCAATGATATCGCCGCTGCTCGACGCCGTCTAGCTACCCTTAAGCGGACGGCCACGTCAATAAGGAAGAGGAATAATGAGAGTGCTAAGGAGAGAAATCATCGCGAGGACGGAGAGAGACGTCGTCTAAAGAGCTTCCTATCTATCGTGGAGAGAGTTTTACACCGGTCTACGCTTATTTGTAGCACTGCAGGTAGGTTTCTCGCTTCCTCGCCGTTATTTTACGTGTATCTAACCTTTAGTGTAGGAAATTCGACGGAGGGCCTTGCCCAGTTCCGTGCCGACAATCAGCTTCTTCTTACCCATACCCACAATCGGACGACGAGGCCCTCTGGCCGGCAGATCAGGATAGTTGGACCACTCACAAAAGGCGATGCAAATAAGGATATACGCAAGTGAGAGCAAAGAGAGAGAGATCAGGCTGAGAAGAAGGCGATATCACTAGGTAGGAAAGCGGCTAAGAACCCTATGCCAGCAGAGCTTCTTGCGAGGGTGAATGCCAGCCTAAATACGCCGGCGCCGCCGCCACCGATGCCACCGCTGCCAATGCCTGAATCGAGTCCATCGAGAAAGCGAGGAATATGGAGATAAAATTGGAGCTAAAACTGGAGAAAAATGAGAGAGAAATGGCTGAGAAATGCATGTACGCCAAGAGCATGAGGAATACTGCGAAGATCCTACCAATATAATATGTATTGCATTCTGATTTGCTTACACTAAATAGCTGACGCAATGCTCTTTTGAATGCAATATTTATGGCAGCAATATGCTGTACAAAAATGCTACGAAAATTGACGTTTTACGAGGTGGGTGAAAAGTATGGTTAGGCACCAAAATAGGGCCCGAAAGTATGGTCTAAAACCGGAGCCCCAACACCGAAGGTGTCTGGGGCGACTAGCTTAGCTAAGCATTGGAAGGGCCCGAGTACTGAAAGGTGCTAAACCAAATAGAGTTCGGGGAAGAGACTTTGTGATAAAAGCAATGAAACAAATTTCTATCCATTTCGTACGACTTCGCCCCGTGTCTCACTCCCTCCTCTGGATTGATACGATGTTTTGGAGGGCAAATGCGCCTCCAAATCCACTACATTAACCGAAGACTAACGCCCGCTAGATATAAGCAAAGCCGAAGAAAGCAACGTGGGTGTTAATCGTCGGTTCTCCCTCTACAATAATACAAGAGGAACGATTGTGGAAGGGGAACCAACGACTCAACGAGCCATTTGCACCAGATAGCGAGCCCCACCAATCAGCGAGCTCCTAAAATTCCAACATGTCCTGCTGATGGGTGGGGCTCGCTTTATGTACCTATATCATATAGCCGTGTCACGGGACGACCCCCTACCCGAAGGGGGTGTCCCACAGCCATAATGCAATTAACCTCCATAATGCAAATTTCCTACCTTTTCAACTTTTACGCGTATTCCTACCCACCTAAAATGCCTAAAAAAACTCGCGATGAAGAGGATCTGCTAGCTAAGGCATTACATGCTTATACTACGCGAGAATTTTCATCACTACGTAAGGCTGCGGACCATTATCGCGTGTCTTATTCGAAGCTTCGCGGTCGCAAAAACGGACAGACATCTCTCTCCGATCGCCCTACCACCAATAATGCATTGAATTTGAATCAGGAAAATGCATTAATTAGCTGGATCGAAGTGCTAAATTCTTGCTATACACCTCCAACTGCAAAAGACATTGAAATTGCCGCAAATCGCCTGTTGAAAATAGCGGGTTCGGAGAGAGTTGTTAGTTCAATGTATAGCTATCGGCTTATACGGCGTCTACCTCCACACATCAAGCTTATTACCCAAAAATCAAAGGAGTCTTTACGAATTCAAGCCGAGGATCCTGGAGTTATTAGCCATTGGTACGATAGGCTTGAGTATCTCTACCGTGAGCATGGTTTTGAACCTCATGAGATCTATAATTGGGATGAAACCGGCTTCCAAAATGGCGAAGGACTTAACCAACACGTCGTCTCTACGCGTCAAACTGCTAGTATTGCTACTGGAGATCGAGGTGAAACTATTACTGGCATTGAATGTATTGCCGCTGATGGCTGGGTGATGTTTCCGTGGTTTCTAGTCAAAGGCAGCGTCCACATGGAAGACTGGTATAGTAATATGTCAACCTCTTCTTCGGCGTACAAAATTATCCATTTTGTTGTAATTTACAATGGTCTGAGAAGCACTATGCATGATCATTACCCAAAGGGTGTAGTTCTCCTTTCCCTTCAAAGCTTCGAATTTGTCGTCATCAGTAAGCTTGCGATGAATAGTCGCAGCTATTTTGATGTGCTCGGTGGCTTTGCGAACGGCTCTTGCGTATTGGACCTCTTCATTGGTCATTGCCGGCGTCGGTTGATGGCTTGGTAGACGTCTTAGCGGTGCATTGCCAGTGGAAAAGTGAGATCTCCGCGAAGCTGTTCTTTGAATTGGCTCTCCACTATGGCGACTGGAGGCTCTAGGAGTATGTGTTCCGTTCGGGTGAGCTGTATAGCTTCTTCCCGGCTTGCTCGACGCAGTTCGGTTGCGATACATTACGTCGGCATCTGTATGGGGCCCATCGGTCTCTGACTGGTCCGATGGTCCATGGATTGGCTCACTTGGTTGAGTAAAGAGAGAGGGTGCTCTCCTACTTTGAATGTTAAGCCTATATCTATCAGACGTTGTACTGGCGTCTAAGACATGTGGTTGGTTGGTGCCAGTGATCTCTGGCCCATATTGAGGCAGCGAGGTCGAAGCTGGCTGCTCTCTTATTGGTTGGTTGCCAATTGCTCGCGATGAAGGGCCCGGCGCCGAGTCCTGGATCACGGTATGCGTATCGTCTTCAACATCAGAGGGGTAAGCGTCGCTCATTGGTGGAGCTTCACTTTCACTCCAATCGAGGTGATCGGTCTCGAGACGGCGACGTTGAGAACGTGTGGTGCGTCTATCAGACATTGTTGGAGGAGTGGACTCAGGGGTAAAGCAAGTAAAGAATTGATAGCAAGAATGAAGCTATTCCCGGCTTACGGAGACGAAGCCGGGCTCATAACCTGTTGTAATTTACAATGGTCTGAGAAGCACTATGCATGAGCAATGGGCAGTAAAACGAGATGATTTAAGTCTACCTCCCGAAGGAGGCTTCTCTATAGCTATTTATAATGGTCAAATGCATACGATATGCCTTTCATGAAACTATTGCGTGATCAGCTCACTAGCAATATGAAAAGGCCACGTTGCTTGATGCATTCAACCAAGTGCTCTGAAGCTCTCTATAGCGCTGCTCAGCCAAGCATTAGCAGTGCTTGGCGAGCTTCAGATCACAACACATTTGACGTCTAGTGGCTGGACGGATAGTGAGACTGCTTACCGATGGCTATGCTCATTTCATGAAGCCACGAAAAACCGCGTACGACGCGGGCGACCGAGGCTTTTGCTAATGGATAATCATGCGTCTCATACAACTATCGAATTTCTCGATTTTTGTAAGGAAAACCTGATTATTCCTTGGTATTTTGTACCTCACACGACTCATATATGTCAGCCCCTTGATGCTGAGGCTTTTTTAAGCCTAAAACATAAGTTTAAAATGGCGAATACTGAGGTTGTGGCGTGGGGTGGAAGTAACGAAAAACGCGACTTTTTCCGCAACATTGACGCCGTCCGACGCCACGCCTTAAGGTCCAAAACTATCCAAACCTCGTTCAAATCTACTGGTATCTGGCCACTAGATCCGACACAAGTTTTGGGTAATTTAGGGCAATATTCGGACGAAGAGACCTTACGCATATACGACGAGCCGTCACCTACCCGCGAATTCCCAAGTTCAGCGACCAATTCTCCGCCCAATTCTTATGCGCGTATTGAAAAATTGGAGAAGACAGTTTTCCCGCTACTTGATAACCCGAATCCTGATTTACGTAAAATTCGGAAGCATATACGGCGCGCAATTGATGCCGGAAAATCGTCTCTATACAATGCGGAACTTGCTGAGATGAGCCTTGCGCGCGCCCTTAGCCATAAAACGCCTGGGAAAAAACCTACAAAAAGCAAGCGATGGGTAAAGGGTGCTACAAAGAGTCCCCTTTCATAGATTTCAGGCAATAGGCTAGTACAGCGAAGGTGTGAGAAAGAAGATGAGTCGAAGCTTCGTGCTTGGCGGAAAGACGCAGAGAAAATGGCGGCCGATTTGGCGGCTAAGGAATTGGAGGAAACACTTGAAAATGAGGAGGATGATACATTATTGGCTACTGAGGCTATTGATGGGCTTTATTTCATGGATCCTAGACCTTATACGTCTAAAAAATGAGCTAGAAGTTGAAGAAATTGAAAATTTGCATTATGGCTGTTAATTGCATTATGGCTGTGGGACACCCCCTACCCGCGAGGGTGGGGGGCGGTCCTGTGACACGGCTAACTATTTATGGCACGGGTAGTAGGTAGACCTTCTACGCGAAGCCAGCTGCCACTATTAGTTTATAAAAGCCACTCTTTCCCTATTTTTTAACTAGCAGAATACAGCAGACCGACATCCAAACTTCTTATTCTTTCCTCACGTCAAGATCTTGGTACATAGTCAGTGGTACCTTTCGAATCGAACTTCCTTACAATCTTTATTCACCAGTCCGAAAAAATCACGACCCAAAAGATATGGCGAACTGGTCCTGGCTCCTCCTTGTCTCTCCTATTTTATTCCAAATCGCAACCGCTAGAACTTGTGTTGGTGGATGGATCAATTGTGACTACAAAGATGGTAAAAAGTGCTCCGTGCAGTGCTCGATAGTTTTTTTGGCTGCGGCTGTCCAGACACGCAACTTACCTACAACTCTGCTACGAAAACGTATGGGACCACAGACCTTGCAAAAAGCGCCTGCGCCGCCCATATTGATACGAGGGACGGTATTTGCCGTTAGACTGTAAGTATTAACTTCCCCCTAAATAATCATCCTTCCCTAGGTTATTTGTTTATTTCTCTAAGGTGGTTCACGACTAAGAAAGGGTATTTAGGACGAGGCAGGATGGTGTCGAGAAATGGAGCGGTAACTTACCGCTTGCACAGGGGTTATACCGAGTGACCCATTCTTATTGTGTTTCTGTATAGTAATTTGGTTTCCTCGGCACTTGTCGTAACACCGTGTACCCGAGCCTAGACCTCCGCAAAGCCCATAAATGGGCCCGACCTTTAGGCCCATAGCCCAACCAGCAGTGGGCTGTGGGCCTAACCTCTATAGCCCGCCCCAACCCATAGCCCATGAGTGGGGGCCCATGAGGCCCCCAATATAGCCCATTTCTATGCATAACTACGATCTTGGCGCTCATAAAACCGCTGATTAATGCCTGTTTTTTACGCATGTTCCAGTCTGTAAGCCTTTACAAGGCATACATCGGCCCGACGTTTTACCAGGCCTGA